TGCCTGGTATTGACCTGTGAGGGTCTAGAAATTCAAGAAAACCCTGTATTGGATGGAAGTTGCTCATTGTGGGGTACTTTTTACAGCAGCAGTAATAGTTTGTGAATCTGTTATATTAGCATTCTGATGCTTCAGCACACTCTGCCTTTAGTAATCCATGAATTGCTTCCAGGTTAATCATCTGATCATATAACAGGGTGATCTGAGACCCAGGTAGATAGGTGTTGGTTCTATTTATTATGTAAGCCTGGTACCCCCGGATTCCATATTTTTATAGCCTTGTACCTCCATTTCTTTGATGTGCTTACAAATTTATTAATTTACAATTACTCCAGTTTTGAGTTATAGTTGCACTCTTTGTTGTAAAAAACTAACTTTTTTCATGTGTCTACATTTGCAAGACGATGATCAGCTTTCTTTGTAATAATGAGAAGTTTAGAACATTTATACAGGCATTCACAGATTAACTGAGTAATAAAACTGAAGTGTTTTATATCATCATTCTGTCTGACTGTTCCTTTTCTATTTGTTTTGGTTTTACCAAGGATGAAGAGGCATCACAGTCAATAAGTGAGGAGCCTATAACTGAGCTGTATCCCCAGCTCTGTTTTCAGATATTTGGAAAGTAATCAGCATAAATGTCCATGAATGCTGACTCACATAACACATGTACAAATTTCAAAAAATGTTGTGTTAAACATGACCAGTGTTATAGGGTGCGCGCTCTTCGTATAAATGTTGAAATAAGAAAGTTAATGTGAAGCAGCACGAGGACCGTCATGAGCTGCCTGGTGATAAGATGCAGGAGGGAAGAGGCAGGAGGGAGGGTTGCAGAGGAGCCACAGGACACACTGCAGGATGACACGTGTGCTCCCTGCTTTGACAGTGTGTGGTTGTGCAAGTACATGTGCATTAATATTTCTCAGGTGCACTCTTTATATATGAGCAGTTTATGGGTTGCATCTGGTGAAACTGTCACAGACAAACAACTCTGAATATAGAAAAAGAGTGAGAGAGTTAATGACTTGTGAAAATGAGAGATGCACTACCAGGCATCCGCATGAAAGCCGATTCTGTTTTCTCTCAGCAAACAGCAGAAGGTAGCAGAGTCACACATTTTATCCCGACAGAAAGAGGGGAATAGAAGCATCACCAGGTGTGTCTTCTCTGTCCAAGAGGTAAAACAGGAAGCAGTTTGTTCACAACTTATGGGAGTATAGGCCCAGGCAGTGGGGAGAACACCTATCGATTCTCATGTAGGAAAGGAAACTGTTTCTTTCTTTTTTTTTTTTTTTTCTTTTGTCTTTTAGAGACAGGGTCTCGCTATGCAGTTCAGGCTGACCTTGAGCTCACTTTCTAAACCAGACTGGCCTCAAACTTCCAACGATCTTCCTGCCTCAGCCTCTGAGTGCTGGGATGGCAGGCGTGCACCACCATGCCTGGCAGGAAACGGTTTCTGACACTTTCAAAACTGAAATATTTCCAAAGCTGACAAGTACAACACAAAAAATGCACATTGTGTATACAAGAAAAATAAAAGCAGAGAAAAAGATAAATATCAAGAAATTATCTCATAATGAGTTTTCCATGAACACAGAAAATCAATTGCATGCGTATATATGGTTCCTGAAAGCAGAGCAGAGCTGACATTCTCACACATAGACCTCATCTCTCAGATGTGATCAAGGACCTCCCACTCATGCTGGGAAGCCAAGTGCACCTGCACCTCCTCACTCTGCTCTCCACCTCCCCAGGACCAACACAGGTTCCTGATGTGAAGTCTCAGGTGCATCTCTTCTATTCCCACCTAGGACATGAGCATTTCAAGAATATGTCCTCACCTGAGATGTCACCGGATCCTCTCCATTGCACCTTCGAAATAACAGCTACCTGCAGATCCCTGAAATTGCTGAAATGTATTATAAATTTTCTTCTGTTTCCTTCTTCTGTTATTCCATGTTCAGTCATGGTTGTGCAAATGACATTTTTAAATCGTGATCTCAGAAGCTGGACTCAAGTACTGCTTCGAATTTGGCCACAAAAGGTGCATCTGGGTTTCTTCTAACCTTTAAAGCCTTTGAAAACCATCACCTACATATTCAAATCTACAAAAATGTGGAAACAATTAACATCCTTATGTTTTCCCAGGCCCATGAAAGAAATAAAGTCTCAGATTGAGTGATGACAAAGAAACCTGGAGAGACAGGAAGATCCAGACCCACAGGCGAGCTCTGCTTCCTGGGCCAGAGCCAGCCACAGGCGCACAGTGGAGGGAGCACGGAGGGGAGATGCTGGAGACTGGAGGAAGGAGAGGACCAGGCTGAGGTCACATCAGGCTCCTGGGGTCCACACAGCCCACATGATACCCCCAGAAGGCCCAGGATCTCAGGGGGATGATTCAAAAGATCACACAAGGCTCTGCCACAGGAAAGGGAAGACTGATCCCTTAGAAATGCACACAGACTGTGCCCTAGAGGGAAGATAATCAAGGGAGGTCTTTTCCAGAAAATCATCCTACTTGGAAGAAAAGTATTCTCCTAACAACAGAACAACCATCCATCCTTCAAAGATGGCTGTAGAAAGTGAAAATAGTTCATAGGAGGCAGATATTAAAGAAAATTGACAGCCTCCATGAAAGGAGCAGATGTCAGGGGAAAATGAGGCACACCCCTTGACTTTCTTTGTGATGCTCACACAGGAAATCATAGGAAACGGAGGATCTCACTGTCATACACATCAGTGTGAAATGTGTGGCTTAGGGTGAAGGAGCTACAGGACCAGGTCCATCTGAGAGGAGATCTAAATGGAGCCACAGACCGCAGAGGAGACAGAGGAGAGGGCAGGCCACTCCTTAGAGCCTCTGCCTCCACCACCTGCCAGACCCTACTCCAGGTGTCCATGGTGTCAGGCTCATCTTGTTCTCTGCCCTTGTGCCTTGGTTACTTTTCTCCCATTTCTGAGACAAAATACCCAACGTCCAAAATGAAGGATGGAAAGGTTTATTTAGCTTACAGTTTGTGGAGGTTTCAGTCCAAACTTGGCTGGCTCCGAGGCAGAAGACAGCAAAGCGACAAGAGCAAGGGGGGAATGGCAGCCGAACAGCAAACAGCCAGAGTAAAAGGGAGGAATGGAAGCAAGCAGCTTCTTTCCCTGCCTTACTTTGTAAACAGGCCACCCCCACCTACGGGGCGTGTAGCTCTCACATAATTTCCATGCTCTCCTCTTCCACAGGCTCAGGATGTATACAAAGTAAGCAGCCTGGCTTCCTACTGAGTCACTTAGCCAAACCTCTAGACTCCCCAAGTTGACACAATGTATCAACCATAACACCTTGGAAATTCATCTTCTTTGTTTTGGATGGGATTGGGCCCAGAGAGGTCATGTTGGGCAATCTCAGAGAAAACCCCTGATATTCCTCCATGGCATCTACAAACTGTTTCTTAGCAACACTTCAAATAATGGGATTCTATTGTTTATGACTCATGTAATATTTTTCTTCTAGATTAGAAATGAACACATTTAGGTACAAATTTTCCATAATCTATACTTAATATTTCTTCAACTTTATCTACATCATCACTAAAGGAGTTCATCTGCACTAATATTTTAAATTGTGTTTCTGGGCTGTAGATATAGCTCAGTGGTACAAACACCTGCCTGGCAAGCACAAGGTTCTGAGTTTGATTTCCAGTACCAAAAAAAAAAAAAAAAATATTGTGCTTTAAACAAATGTAGTGAATGGAAGCAGGAAGAGCATGGAGCTCCTGGATATTCATCCCCCCAGACACAACCGAACTTAGTGCTGACCAGCCATTTCTGTTTCCAAAGTAGAAAAATACTACTAATGGCAGTGGTGATCATATTGGACTCTCACACCCCTCTGCTGAGAAGGTCAAATACAGAGCTACTCCTGCACCCAGCATTCACACCTCCTCACCCTGGAGGTTGGAATGTGCAGTTTTCATGTTCAGGGTCAACAGATAAAGTGGGAAGGGGTTGGGCTCTGCTTTCCATCCTGGATTACTCATAAATTCTCAGCCCTGTTTCCTG